CCCCCCCCCCGGGGGTCCCGGTCGAGGGTTGTGGGTGATGGCGTGCCGCCAGGCTCCCACGTGGGGCAACGGGGGGCGTATTTTATCCCCGCCGGCACCCTGTTCCCTCGGTATTCCGCCGTCCTCACCCCTCCGTTGCCACCGGCAGGACGATGGTGGCCGCCTGGGTGCTGCTGGCCCTCCTGGCCTGGCCGGTTCCCGCCACGGCCGCCACGGTACGAGACTCGCTGCTCAACGTCTGCATGGACGCCAAGCACCATAAAACGGCACCCGGCCCCGAGGGGCAGCTCTACGGGCAGGTAGGGTCCTCGCCCCCCACCCTGGCACCCACCGGCGTCACCCGGTGTGGGATCACCGGACCGGATCGCGGCGGTGCCGGCGGGAGGGTGCGCCATCTGCCCCGCCGTGGTCTCCATCACCTGCTGCCACTTCCCCACATGAACCGCCGGTGCTCAGCCTGGCGTGTCTACCCCCCGACTCCCCCCCAGCCCCCCTCACCCCGTGCCCGGGGAAGCACCGGCAGGTTCCGGCTGAGCCCCGGCTGTCCCGGCACAGTGTACTCCCTGGAAGGATAATGCCTGCTGCACCGCCAACACCAGCGTGCAAGCCCACCAGGACCAGTCCTACCTGTACAACTTCAACTGGGACCACTGTGGGATCATGCCGGAGAAGTGCAAACGGCACTTCATCCAGGACACGTGTCTCTACGAGTGCTCCCCCAACCTGGGACCCTGGATCAAGCCGGTGGGTGCAGACCCCCACCTCCCCCCACAGCGTCCCTTCCACCTTCACCCACCTGCTGGAAGGCTGGGAGGTCCGCGGAGTGAACTGGGATGAACTGGGGTACCCCCGCAGGTGGACAGCAGCTGGCGTAAGGAACGGATCCTGCATGTGCCGCTGTGCCTGGAGGACTGCGAGCAGTGGTGGGAGGACTGCCAGAACGCCGTCACCTGCAAGGTCAACTGGCACAAGGGCTGGAACTGGACCACAGGTCAGTGGGGGGGCGCGGGCCCCCCCCCCCCCCATCTTGCCACAGGGGAATCGGCTGCGTCCCCCCGCCTCGGTGGCTGTGAGCGGGTCTGGGGGTGCCTGAGGGTTCCCCGTAGAGGTGGGGGGGGCGTGCCAGCAGCCGGGTGGGGGTCTGCCAGGGTCAACCCCAAAGGCAGCAGGACCCCAAT